ACGAAAAAAGTAAAAAAGTAAAAAAAAAAAAAAAAAAAAAAAAACCAAAATAGAAAGCTAATATCCACACTTTTGAGAAATTTTGGAGGTTTCGGGGCCTGGTGTCAAAAGCCTTTAGATTATAGGGGATATATCTCGGGGTCATATAATGCCGTTTGTAACCAAATATGATCATTATATGTTGTCATAAATGCTTGTGATAGACTTGAGTTAATGAAATCGGCACAAGTTGTAAACCGGTAAATTGGTGGTTTAAAGGCAAATTGGATGTTTCACCAACCCAATTGGAATCCCGGAGGGTATTAGAGACCAAGGTAAAAATTTCGGCAATTTTAGTTTAAGGACCAAAAAAAGTAAAAAAAAAAAATAAATCATAAATCAAAGGCTATATCCACGGTTTTTGAGAAATTTTGAAGGTTTCGAGTCCCGGTATCGAAAAGCCTTGAGATTCTAGGGAATACATCTCAGGGTCATATAATGTAGTTTGGGACCATATATGATCATTATTTGTTGGCATAAATGTTAGTTGTAGGCTTGAGTTAATGAAATCGTTGCAAGTTGTATACTTGTAAATTGGCTGTATAAAGGCAAATTGGATGGTTCCACCCACCCAATTGGACTCCCGAAGGGTATTAGGGACCATGGTAAACATTTCGACAATTTTTATATCCGGGAGAAATTTTTTTTAAAAATTCCATGATTGAAGGCCAATATCCACGCTTTTTAAGAAATTTCGACTGTTTCAGGGTCCGGTGTCGAAAAATATTGAGATTTTAAGGGATACATTTTGGGGTCATATAATACCTCTTGGAACCATATATGATCATTATATGTTGTCATAAATGTTCGTGGTAGGCTTGAGTTAATGAAATCGGTGCAAGTTGAAAACCGGTAACTGATCGTTTAAAGGCAAATGGATGGTTCCACCCAGCCAGTTGGACTCCCGAAGGATATTAGGGACCATGGTAAACATTTTGGCTTATTTACGGGTGAAAAAAATTCAAAAAATTCCAAAATTGAAGACTAATATCCACGTTTTTTGAGAAATTTTGGAGGTTTCGGGTAGAGCTGTCAATTCGGGTAAACATGTCCGGTTTGGGTCGTTAATAGTGGGTCGGGTCAATTTGGATTAACTCCATAACCTATGCGGGTCGGGTTTGGGTTGGGTCATGTTTTAGTCGGGTCACGTCGGGTCATATTTCTTATCTGGTTTGGATCGGGTTACATTCGGGTTGGGTGAACAATAGGTCGGGTTTAATTTGGGTTTTCACGGGTTAAAACGGATTAGGGTAATTCTTGGGTTCGATTCGGGTTCGGTTCAAGTCAATAATTTGCAGGTTATAATCAGGTCTGGTCATTTTCAAGTCGGGTCATTCCCGGGATCAAGTCAGGTTCAGTTCAAGTCAATAATTTACGGGTTATAATAAGGTTGGGTCCTTTTCAAGTCGTGTCATTCTCATATTCAAGTCGGATTATGTTCAAGTCAATAATTTGCAGGTTACAATTTGGTCGGGTCATTTCCAACTGAAGTCATATTCGGGTTTAACTAACTATAAATAGATAATTATCATTTTTATCAAGCTAATTATTTCCTTTACTGTAATATATATCGCAATATACTAGGAAACTATAGTCTATAATTTAGGAAGATAATTATCTCCTTTGACCATACAACTAATATATATTATATTTAACTCTTAAATTTGAGGATGATGAGCCTTTCTTTTGCTGGCCTAGACCGACTGTTGATCTCTCTAGACAAAATGATTTGATTAACAATAATAAGGTGGTCTAAATTGCATTTAAGGTGATTTGAAATCGGGTCAGAAACAATTTAGGTTGAATTTAGGTCGGGTCAATAACAAGTCGTGTTGATTTCGAGTCAGGTTAGTAACAGATCAGGTTGAATTTTTTGGTCGGGTTAGTAATAGGTGTGGTAAAATTCGGGTCGGGTCAATAACAAGTCGGGTTGAACTTAGGTCATATCAATAACAAGTCAGGTTGATTTCGGGTCGGATTTGTAACAGATTGGGTTAAATTCAGGTCGGGTTGAATTCAGGTCAGGTTAGTAACAAGTCGGGTTAAATTCGGGTTTTGACGGGTTAAAACGGGTTTGGGTCAATTTCGGTTCAAGTCGGGTTCGGTTCATGTTAATAATTTACGGGTTACTTTCGGGTTAGCTCATCTTCAGGTCAGTTCATGTTCGGGTCTCACATACTCGGGTCAACTCGAGTCTAGGGTTGGTTTCAAGTCGAATCAGGTCGGGTTTGGGTCACTATTTTTTTGGGTTCATATGGTCGGTTAATAATCGGGTTTTAGTCGTTATTTCGGGTCGGGTTAACTTTTAACAGCTCTACTTACAAGCATATAGATATCAATGGCCAAAATAGGGAATACATTAGAGATTGTGGAAGTCATATAATTATAGACATAAGAAATTTGCTGGGGATGCAAAAATGAGAAAACTATTTAATTAATAAGTTGTTTATAAAATAGGGATACAACAATACAAGTCATACAACTACTCTCCAACCGTATAAATATGAGAGTTGACAATATTAGTCAACTAGTTTGTGAATAGCATAAAATTCTTACTTTAGAAGAAGTATTATACTCCCTAGTACTTTTTTTTTCTTTTTTGAAAATATGAATTTGGATTATAATTGTTCCGGGTGTAGCTTTGGAGCCTAGCTAGGTGTCTAGACGTCGGTCGGGATACACCTGCACAATAACGGTGGTTATGCCCTCGGCCCCCTTCGATAGTAAAGTTAGTATGGTATTCAGTGGATAATAATGGATAAGTGATTAATTGTATATGTTTAACCTCCTTTTCGTTGTCTTTGGGTTTCTACTAGATGAACCCCGTGCGATGCACGGTTTGTTTGATTTTTTTTTAAAATAATGTTTTTTTTTGTATTTATGAACCTAAAATTTGTTATATATTTAGATAAAATTCCTAGTATTAAAAGATAATATATAGTATTTAATTAATTTAAACTTAAAAATCTCATTCGCCAATTTTGCTTACATGGCATTTACATTATTCAATTCTAAAATAAATTAATAATCTCTTATTTAATTGGCTATTACTAAGATTTATAATCCTACATGACGCGCTGAGAAAATTAGATCCTACGCGGCTCTCTAAAAACTCGGGAAAAAACTCCCCTTTATATATATATATTAGATTTATAGTTGTTCTATTCTTGATGTTGCAGGTTGAAGCCTGCTGAGCCCTGAGAGATTATCCCTGACTCTGAGATGGGCCTTCTGGGGTCAGTCATGAAGTTAAGCCCCTAGGATTTTCCTTGGCCTTGGACCGGGCTGGCATGAATGTGAACCTCTCAAGTGGTGCTGGGAGCACGGGGCAGCTTAACGGGAGCTACCCTATACAACTAGCCCCTCAAGAGGTGGTTTGAGGGTGTTTGAAACATTCTTCTACCCGGAGGTTAGGAGCATACCGGAGCTATCCCATACAACTAACCCCTCACAAGGTGGTACGAGAAACTTGTGCCAGCTCTTCCAAGTAAATAACTCCTGCCAAGTCACTATTTGACTGGATTTGATGACCGAATTCTTCCTCATACAACTAGCCCCTCCGAGTCTCATATTTGCACTCGACTGATTTGAGGCTTAGAGAGTTTGCTAGTGATCTTTATCATGCTGAACCATCATGATGAGACTTTGATTACTCCCGCTAAAGTTATTTCAAAGCGACGGGCTGAGGCTGAGCGAGGAGCTTTAATTACTCCCGCTGAAGTTATTTCAAAGTGACAGCTGAGGCTGAGCGAGGAGCTTTGATTACTCCCGCTGAAGTTATTTTAAAGCGACGAGCTAAGGCTAAGCGAGGAGCGAGGGGGGTTTCTTGAAGCCGCCTCCGAGGGCATAACCACCGTCATTGTGCAAGTGAATCCCGACCGACGTCCAGGCCAGACACCCAACTAGGCTCCGAAGCTACACCCGGAAAAATAATCTTAGTCAATTTCGGGTATCAGACATCTAATCCATAATCTACGTAGTAGTCTTGGACTCTAAAAACCTATGTAGTAGTCTTAGACAAAAATTGGAACCAACCCAGTTAAGTAAAAGATTCTCTCTTATAACTGAGCCCAAAACAATGTCCAGCGTTTTTGTTAAGAACATGTCCATAAGCTCAAACAAGTCCACAAAATTTGTGAGAAACAAACTTAGCTAAGCTAAACCATCTTAAATTCAAACATCAGATCCACATCTAATTTCATAATTTGTGACATCCAATCGATATTAATTTCAGATTGGATATTCGACCTGAAAATTTGATACATGACAGATTGGATTTTCAAATATCCCCCCCCCCCAACAAAAAAAAAGGCAACACTCCGTATTACTCTATATAGTATTTTGGATATCGAATACTTCATGTGTCATTCCAAAATTTTAAGATATAGGATATTTAAAGATATTTCAAATTTCAGATATCTGAAACCCATTTCGGATTGAATATCCGATCCGTGCTTAACCTATAGACAAGCAGCAGCATATATATGGGCAGTGAATAAAAAATAGTGTGCCCACAAACGTAGACCATACTCAGACAACATTCAAAATAAGAAGAGCTGAACAAGTCGGACCATCTTAAAAAACCAAAGAAATGAACCCATAAATTTGTTGTGGGCTTAAGAAAGAAAGTCAGAGAGCATCTGCAAAGATAGTCTTAAGCAGACAAATCTCCAGCATAGTTTTCAGTCATACTGTGCAGTGCAACATAAATTAACTCAGGAAAGAAGAGCCTCGGAACTTGCCTCCAAACTCACTACATGTTCAAATTGAACAAAGCCTTGAAAAGAACATAAAATACCTCCCTATAAGTAAAAGCAGGATACTGGGCCCAAGATACGAAAGGACAAAACTAACGACGCCACGAGTACCTTCATACTATTCTGTGTATCTATATATATTTATGTATATATATGTGGAGATAAAGATGAGCAGTGACTTGTCTTGGAGAAACCAATGACCATTCAGTGCAATGGAGAGCGAGGAGGACGAGGGCGAACAGGAGTCTTTGACGGGCTCACCCTGTATATGTAAAGAGTGTATTGTTATGATTTGCCCCTGAAATAGGATTATTTATAGAGCAAAAGGACATGAGTGCTGCAAGAGTACCAACCTGATAGGCAGTGATCCCAGCACTGCACCACTGCAGTTGAGAGCCGAAATTGCACTTTCAGCCTGTAAGCACCACAAGAGACATGTCAATTCTAATGACAAAAAAAAAAAAAAAAAAAAAAAAAAGTTCACAGAACCTCAAATAATGACAGACCATATAACAATTTATGACTTTGAAGTAAAAGAAGTGGATAATATCAATTACAAATTCTAGAGTGAGGCAGGGATAGATAATCTAGGGTTCACTTTAATTTGGTACCATAATACTCTCATAAAGAAAAAGAGAAAAAAAAAAAAAAAAAAAAAAAAAAAAACAGAATTTTGCATGCATATGTCTCAAAGCACAAAAAATGTAGCCCGCTAACATTCATCTACCAACTGCCATCAACTAAATGGAATTTCCAATAACCAGCAAGCATAATATAAAATAAAATAAAAAAATAAAATAAAATAAAAAAAGCACCCAGCCTACTTAAGGCAAAACATATGACAGTTGAATATCAAGCTTCAGCTACTATGGAAACAACCCCCTTCCCCCCTTTGACAGCCTGATAACATATGCCCATTCAAAGAACAGTCGCACAAACTTCAAAACAAACTGCAGATTGATAGACATAAAACTTTCAAAAGTGCAAAAGGTCAACTAAAATGTTGCAGTAAGGTTTGTAACTCTATCAAACTATATGCAAAAAAATAGTAGTAACTAAATATGAGTTTTCATGACACGAATTAAATAAAATGCCTGCGCCCTGCAGCTTTGTAACCAAGGACTTGGACATTACTTATGTCTTCATCAATTCCATGTTTAACTAATACCCTCCATTCTCACCCATTAGCCACTGGATCCTAGATTCCACCAAGGCATCATGATTCTGCAGCCAAAGCCCTAGCAAATGAAGAGACTACAACACAAGCAGAACAGCTATCTAGCAGAAAAAAATTTGTCATAGTCTTAGATTAATGATTTATAAATAATTTAACCCTTTCAATCACAATACCACAAGAAAATTAAAAGCAATAAAAACAGCGCAAGGCAACAAGGAAAACTCAAGGAGTCAAGGCCAAGGCAAGGCATTCTAAGACATGATAACAACGGTTAGGCCAAGACATGAATGAGATGGTTATGGGCACCAAGTAAGCCTCCCAGGGTCCTCAGAAGAAGCACCTTGTTGCATAATCTTGCGTCTTGCCCGGTAAAATAATGTTTCCAAAGAATACACAAAATCGGAGCATTTTTAGGAGATTTTGAGATCCGGTGTTGAATTCTTAAGGGATGGTAGGAGACGTATCCCAGGGTCATACAATGTTCTTTGGAACCATATATGGCCCTAAGTTAGTCACATAACCTCTTGTGGTAGCCAAAGAGGTGTAAGGGGCTAGATTGCCTATTTAAAGGAAAAATGATCGGTTCCAGCCACCCAAATGGCCTCTCAGGATGTCGTGGGATCCATAGAAAGTACCCAAACCTCTCTTTTTTTCAGGCCCAAAAAAGTCTAATATTATCAAAACTGAAGGCCATAATTCACACTTTTGGACCAATTTCAAAAAAATTACCCAAAGCCATTTCCAGATTCATGAAACCTAAGAAACATAATTGGCAAATATGACCACAATCCCAAAGCAAAGTAACTCTCTTTTTATATGACTCCTCACTCTTTCTGCTAGTCCTAATTTGACTATTAGAATATATCTAGCAACATAAATTTGTTCCTGACTCACTCGAATTCCAGTTGTAAAATTTAACATCAATTCAATGAAATGGTGACCCTAGATTTGCAGTTTAAAAATTCAAAAGGAAATGTAAAAATAAAGTCACTATGGTTTATGGGAGAGAAGTACATTAATATATCAAAAACTGAACATCTCACACAGCAAGCAAGATGGAAGACAAAAGCTAGCACTTTCATGGTCTTCTAGAACATCATTCTATATATTTTGAATATTTTACATGCGTTCTACAGTCATGAATCAGAGTATATTCCACAAAATAGGCAATAAAACTTTCATGGTACCAAACGTCCAAACCTCTACGTTTACTTATGTAAAAATAATATTATTTCAAACTACTTATAAACCATACTGATAACATCTAATGAACATAAGAGATAGAGGTGTACAGAACTACAGCCCCTCCATAGATGACAAGATCCCATAGTTATTTCGGTCTTTATGCAACAGGTTCTCAAAACATAATTGATTTGTCATGCCTACAAAATTCTCTAACCCCTAAAACAAGTTGATGTGTGTTTCTATAGCATGTAATTTCCCGTGACAAGCAGAATACAAAAATAAATCTAACCCACCTATTTATTTAATCTTTCATGATCCTTGGAAAGAATACTGGCTGAAATAGACTCTAAAAATGAATATGCCAATATAGGAACTTCATAATAAGATTTAGGACTTTTTTGTCAAAAACTACCTAATAAAACACATTTAATTAAGAAACTACCTAATAAAAGGTAAAATACTACCTTTGACCGGATTTTCAAGACATAATTTTGTGGCGTTGACCACCTCAAAACATCCTTAAAACCACCACGAGTGTTGGTTTTCAAGGTGGTAAGGCGGTAAGGCTATTTTGGGGTGGTTGGCTTCCGAGTTGTTGGGGGTAGGTTTGGGCTACGAGATTGTGGTTTTAGGGGTGTTTTGAGGTGGGTCAACGTGAGAAAAAATAGGTTAACGATAGAAATCCGACAAGAGGTAGTAATTTACAATATTTTATCCTTTTATTAGGCAGTTTTTCACATCATTTTTTTTTACTACGTAGTTGCTCACAAAATCTAGGATTTATTAGGTAGTTTCTTACAAAAAATCCTAAAATTGAAGTATACGAATAACGGATTGTGCTTCTATCCTAGTCACTCCCAATAATAAATATTCAGCGCAACTTATATCAAAAAAACCTTCATGGGCTGATGATTGTGTTCCACTAAGCCAATCCCCAAAGTCCCAAACTCCATATCCTTTAAGTGCTCTACAAGACTAAAGAAGTAAGGAAGGAGATCCCCAAGATGGTAGAATAGTTAACATTATGCCTAGCAATAAGATTAATTTTATAATAAAAATATTGTTTCTGTACCATACGACAGCAAGGGTGAATGCCATATCTCAAAATCCAAAGATAAAATAAGCACTCAATTTTAGAGTATTATAAAAGTATAATGCTTGTTTAAAAAAAACAGTCAATACCACACGAGAACCAAATATATATACCCTAGTATTAAATACAGTATTATAAATAAAAACAGTCGGAGAGTAACAGTTAATGCATATCCAAAGAAGGCACCGGAATGACTAAAACATTAGAACACGTGCAAGGTAAGGGAAAAGGGCAAAAAGCGCCAAATTTGAACTACACACGGTATAGGAGCCTAGCAAGTCTCCAATCCACTGTTTTTGATTCAAAGAGTTGACTAGACTACAACATTCAAGTCAAAAGAATATGTTGAAAACCCAAAGAAAGAAATATAGTTTCCAATTTGACATCAAAAGCATGAGAACTTCAACCATAAAACAGTAGAAAGAAAAGGGCAACAAGAGAGGTTCAGAAATTACCATAGCAAACTCCACAAAAGCAATGCGAGTTGAGTGATGATAGTCTCCAAGCAGCCTCAGGCGTTGTACCTAGAAAGTAAGAATCTTTACACATAAATTTTAAAATTGACAGGGCCCAATTAGTCAATGTTGAGATATGGTGAGCTACAAACCTCTCCACAAAATGATTCAAAGAACAGTTTGACTTCAGATTGTGTAACCTGCAATGAATATCAAAAAGCACATGAACTTAGCAATGAGAACTAGAGGCCAATCAAATGACAGGATGAACATACACACAAGTGATGGATGGTTGACTAAATAATACCTTCTTATCAATGTTGGTACAATAAACAGTTCGTGCACACATTTCTCTCTCACCTTCAGACTGCAGACAAAAGCCATTAATTACCTCACTGACATTAATAGTGTTTAAACATAAAGTCCATAATGATCATTATGTTGAAGCTTGTTTCGAGCAGTAAAATTTACTTGCTTGCAAGGGATAGATTACAGATTGCAGTAAGTGCAGTGCAGAACCAACCTTGGGCAAGAAAGTAGGATTAACAGGAGCAATGGCAGTCTTAGAAGGCAGCATCCTGACAGGATAGAACCCAAGCACTGTACCCGACAGGCTTAAAGCAGCATTAGCACCCTCTGCCAAAATAGCAAAGCCAAAACAAATCGCAACATGACAAACATAACCAAGCATGATCCCCAACTTATCAGCAAAAATAATGTTAAAGCCGTTACCTTCATCCATAAATTCCACGAAAGCAAAGCGAAGTACAGAATTCGGATCACCACAAATACGACAATCAACAACCTAAACCACCCCAACAAAAGAAAGCAATTCAATGTTTACACTTAAATACATCCAACCAAAACAACATACAGCTAAAAACAGCCCAATTACCGGTCCACAATTGATAAAAAGCGCTGCAAGTTGCTCTTCAGTGACCTGATACCCACCATTACACAAATGTCACAACACAAACTCATACCCAAAACAAGAAATTTCACAAGCAATTCACCCCAAATCTTACCAAGATAAAATTCTGATAGCTTTGTTCGATAATTCAATAGATAAATAACAAAAGACACAAACTTCATCAAAATATAACACACAGAACAAACCTAAATCAACAACAAAATTCAATAATCTTAACAATAATTGCAAAAATCCTGTACCTGCTGATCAATGTCCGAAACATACACGGTTCGCCGGATTACATCTTCCCTTTGAGCCATACTAGTACGGGTATTCATCCTCCTTTTCCCTTGACCATACCCATTTCTCCTCTGTTCATCCACAAAAACACACACAAACAAAAATCAATAAACCCTACCAAATAAATACACAAAAATGGCAATCAATCAGATAAATAAAATTACCCTTCTACCAGAGAATCCATTGACATTGCCGGCAACCGGACTCGGCGGCGCAATTAGAAAATTATTAACATAACCAAAATTGCCATTGTTATTACTAAACATATTATTATTATTATTATTCACATAATTTACAGGCACAAATTCCTTAGCCATAGGGTTTAGCTTCGATAACATCTCCTGTAAATCCCTAATTTCCTTCTTAAACCCTTCTTCATTTTTCGCATCAAAATTCTTTCCATTTTCATTTTTATTATTATTATCATCAAATTTGATGTTGCTTTGATGATCATCATCAAAATCATCATCATCAGTAACACCGCTATTCTCGCTACTTCCAGAATTTGTCAAGCCAGAATGATTATTTTCCAGATTATTATTATTATTGTTACTGTTACAATCATCCTCTTTCGCTTCACCAACAACAACGACGTCGTTTTTGGGCAAAGACTGCGACTTCAAACTGCATTTCTCACTCTTCTCGTTGTTGTTGATGTGATTGCCGTTTGATCGGTCGAGATCAGTCGTTTCGCAATGGTTTCCACCCGATGCGACACTGTTTTCCGCCACCGCCATGATCGCAACAACAAAATTTCACACTTTCTCGATACTACAAAATTTGATTTCCAGTAAAGATGAACAGCAACAACTCCTTCAATTTTCTGGACAATCGCCGATCAAAAAACAAATTAATAATCAAAACCAAAATTACATGAAAAAAAAATAGAGTGGAAGGCAAAATTACCTATGAAAATTAAAGAGAGGTGACGTCCATTGATTTGATTTGATCGATGAACAGAGAAAGGTCTTCTTATTAAGCTCTTCTTTAATGGCGGAGGAAATTACTGAAAATTATTTATAAAATAAAAGAAAAAAAAAAAAAGGTGTTACAGAAGAACAAAACACGACTTTTATTTTAATTTTTTTTTTTAAAGAGTGGCTTTTTAATGATGCAGTGATTCTTTTGTCTGCAAGAGTTTAAAGGGTGAGAGAGAAAATAAAATAAAGCAGTGTGCGTGTAGGCGTGTAGCTTCTTTGAAGAATCTATTTTTTATTTTTGCTTTTGTATTTAACTTATTATTAATTGAGTTGATATTGAAATGGTTAGGTTAATTATTTTTGTTAAAACTTAAAAAAAAAAAACTTTTTTTTTTAATTCCCTAATTAGTCAAGTTTTATACTAATTTCAGTATGTATGATGAAAGTTACTCTGTATACATGTTGGTTTGATTATGGAGTTGTAATATGGACTAAATTTAGAATCTAAATTTTATAAGATCTATTTCTTATGTTATTTCATTCGTTTTTTAAATATTGCTATTTTTGGACTTTTGACCATACAGATAAAAATATTATAATTAAAAATATATTTATTTAATAAATTTATTCATAAAAAATTATGTTAATTAATACTTTTATCAATATTACATAATATCTTTTTATTAGTATATTAAATTATTAGTATTATCTCTTTAAAAAAAATTATTACTCAAATTATTAGTATTATCTTAGACCGGATCATATTGTGGTTGATAAATTAAATATTTGAGGAGATGTATCTTTTAATTTGACTTTTGGGAGGGATTAGCTGACAATATTGGTTGAGCATTTATAATTTTAATAATTAGTGAGACTTTGGTGTTGTAAGGTTCAAAGATTAAGCTTTTAATTTCGTGAGACTTTATTTCAGGCATTGGTTTGGCAATATCACATGATGCTTCTTAGGTTTGACTTTACCTAATTAATATATTTTAATTTTTAAAATATAATTTAGTCACATAATTTAATTAAACCATTTTTCTTATTGATCATAATTTTTTAGATACATTAAAAAGGATAAACTTTAAATGAAAAGGATAAACTTTATAGAATAGAATAGTACAATCCATTAAAATTAACCTATCCTTTGTGATATTTGGATAAAGGATAAGATAGCTATCTCAATAATTACTATACAAATATATTAACAATATCAAGCGAGATACGAATCTAATTTATTTATTGCATTAAATAATGTACAATTTTTGGATGCGTATCTTATATGATCATGTATTTAAAGTCAAATTTTCCACAAATAGGGTAATAATTTGCTTTCTCATTCTAAGCATTTAAGATAAGGATTTGTTGAATGTGTTTTGAGTATCATCATCCAAATTTTTTTATGTAATTAATATTTAGATGTGAAATCCATATTTAATTTATTTCATTATGAAAATTAATAAATGGTGAAATTGTGACCTAGTGAAAATTTGAACAATACTTTACCTAAGACCAATGTAATAGGCACATAATTCGAAAAAGTGTATAAAATTTTTAGATATATATAAAGGCTTGGTAAGAACAATATTTGGTTTCAGGTGTTGCCACTTAGCAAATCATATATACGGGCCTGTTCTTTGTCTACCTTATTTGAACTTATTTCGAGTTCAATAAATTCAAATAATTTCGTATAAGTTCTAACAAAAGGTTACCAAAACTTCAAATTACAACTAAAATAAGCTTTAATAAAGCATAAGTTCAAATATATTCTAATAAGTTAATATAAGTAATAAGTGTAATCAGGTGAATAGAATACACAATTTTTTTACACAAATTTAAATAATTAATGCACAAAGGTACTCGTAGATGTTTAAACTATTTTAAACATTTTTATTCTTATTAAGGACTCATTAAGGTCTTTTTTCGTTCACCTAGCTAGTTCAGATTAGATAATTTCAAATTGACAAAATTAACAATAAAAGTTCATATAAGTTCTTATCCAATTTAAATTTCAATTAAAATAATAAGCTCTTACAAATTATACAAGTATTAAATTTCTGAATAAAGTAAAAATAGGTTTAGATAGATTAATTCAAATAAATAAAATTAAAAAAATAAATAATAAAAAAAACCCAAGTAAATTGAACACAATGTGTAAGAAAATGATTGGTCTTTGTAGCTAAGTCATAGGGTCGGGCTTCTACCAACCCATGTATGGATCTTTGAATTCACAAATTATACACTTTGATTACTAAAACAACAATCATATTCTATAGGTATTTGTTAGTTTCTTTTTCATATGAATGACTAAGAGTCAGTAAAAAAATAGATTAAAATCCTTAAAATCTAATACGGATTACTTGTAATTTAATTATAGGACCATGGCCAAAATCAACTAGGTCAAATCAGCCAAAATCAACTAGGTCAAATCTCACATACAAGTATTAATTACATAGCACGTTAACTAATTAATTAATCCAATAAGAAAAGTGACAAATATACACAAATTATAAAGAGCATGATGTTAATGACAATCCATAAAATCCAATATAGTTGCATGAGGGAAATTATATTGCATGCGTGGCAAGTGAAGATTGGACAATGACGGATGATAAAGTAGCATTGCTTGACACTAAACATATTTCATGCCACATGTTAATGGAGGTCCCAAATTCCCCTGCTTTTTATTTTATTATGGGGTTAAATATAAAAAAATAAAATTATACAATCATAAGAGTATAAAATTAAAGTGGGTTCTTTATCATTTTATTATTTTCTGGTATTCATCATTATTTTTATTTTAAACTGATTTTCATATATTAAATTTAAGGTAAGTTGGTAAGAGTTGTCGTTTTCGACTGCAAAATTAATATTTCTTGAGAAGGGCATCAAATGCTAGAATAATTCAGTCATTTAACTTTTGTTTGTAACGTTGCGTTTGTGCAAACAAATTAAAAGGAGTTACGTTGTCAAGAGTTTCTCTTCTTCGAGTTTATCTTGTCCTTGTACGACGAATTTTGTGTGCGTTTGCGTAGGGTTTCTAATGTCGGATTCTATTCTATCATTTAATTTTAAGCCCATCCTAGTTAGTTAAAGTTTTGGATAGTATCAACTCCCGAGATTAAATTATGTTTACGACATTTACTTTTGATTTTTACTAACGTATTGGACTAATTGATTATATTTATTAAATGTATTTTCTGTTAGGAGATATAAAACGGATAGATATGGACCTTAATGATTGTATATTTGTATCTTGCATAATTTTGAAGTGTTTAAAAGTTATTAGGCAAATAAAAGGCAATGTATTATTTTCTACCGTTATATAATTTACTTGTTCAATAGTACGTCCATCATCTCACTTATTTGGGAATAAGCAAACATAATACTCATATAGAATATAGATCATCAATTTAAGTATTATGTTCGTGATTCGCATTAATCACATAAATATGTAAAGCATGATATAATTTTGCGTAAGCTAAACATAGAGTATTTTTGTGATATACTATGTATTATTTAATTAATACAATAAAAAGTAATTTCATAAGCAAGAAGTAGGAACAATGTATATCTTTCCAATAGGTACGAGCTACGTATATATGAAAATGATGTAGCGACATGTCACCATCAAATGAATAATGATTAATGACTCCTGACAAAGTGTATAATCTATATATTACTCCGTATTACTACACTACAATTATGTCATCGAAGAAAATACACACACTCGCATAATCTAAGCCAACACACAAAAATAATCTATTAGCAAGACTACAACTCGTATTTCGCACGAGCTTATAAATTAGTTTCTATTATTCTTTCGTAGTCTTACATTCATTCTCATCACCCAAAAAAGAAAAATGAAGTCTCATGTTGGAACGAAAGAAGTTGGTTAGTCCAACATAACAAAAGCCTTCAACGTCTAGAATTTAATGGGTTACGCAGTCATGAATCATAATGCATGAAGATATATGAAGCCAATTGACAAAGTGGAGTGCATTAGATGCGATGCTCTTCACTTCTCAGACTAAATCTAAGGCTCTAATTAAGCTGCCATTTTATGTTATGTCAGGGAAAAATATGCCATATTGTTACACAAATAATGCTAAAAAGATTAAATTTTTATTTTATGGACAACAACGTTTTTTTTTTCCTTCCTTAGTTTTCGATGTGACCGATAGTTTAATTGAATTGGAAAAATTTAGATTATGAGAAATACTTTGATAAGATTACATTACTTTATTGTAAGTTAACTCTATAAAAATCATACCTGTAATCATCATACTAATTTTCGTATACATTATTATACTAATTTTCATTATATATATTATTATACTAATTTTATTTTAACTTTATCATACTAATTTTCATAGTGGTTAAGCTTTGTATTGATGTGATTTAGGTTAGATTAAATAATTTGAATCGCATAATGGAGTAATAATTTTTAAGGTCGTAATTTTAAATTACTAAGAAAAAAAAAAAACAATAAATAAGTATCATTTGGGTTTATTTAATTTTATACTTTTACCAATTCCTCTTGTGAAGTCAAATACTATGTACTAATTTAATTTCATGCGTTAACTGAATTTTGGTTTGTTGAGACACATACGCCATATTTGACAAAGATTGAGGTGGCTAGTTTCATGCTCTCCACAATTGTATTATTATATTCCTACTTATTTATTCGGTACATTGATTTTGAATAACGATTTGATGGAAATTACGTACTCCGTACTACATTTACATCATTTTTTTTTTGAAAGAACATTTACATCATATAGTACGGGGTATTAATTTATGAGAATTATAACATTGCATTTTATTAATTTAGGTATTGGCTGATAATTAGATTAGACTTCTTCATCTTTATTTGATTTTGTATACGGAATAAATACGTATTTTGCATAAATGTAGTGCGTATCGGGTGGGCAATTATTCTACTATACACTATGTAGCTTTATAATAATCATAATAGTAGATGAAGCCCGTGCAATGCACAGTCTGTTTGAATTAATGTGCTAAAATTGGTTATATATTTAGTTTAAATTCCTAATATCAAAAGATAATATTTTATATTTAATTAATTTAAATTTAAAAATGACATTTGCCAATTTTGCTTACTGGCATTTGAATAATACAATTATAATTTAAATTTTAAAATCTCATTCGCCAATTTTGCTTACGTGAAATTTGAATTATTTAATTATAAAATATTTTAATAATCTCTTATTTAATTAGCTACTACTTAAATTTATAATCTTACATGGCACACTAAGAAAATTAGATCTTATGTGGCTTTCTAAAACTCGAGAAAAAACTCCCTTTTATATATATACAAGTTTTGTGTTCCGTG